GGTCACACAACTTACTGCATGTGATGTATAAAATTCAAAATAATTTTACTTTAAGTTGATTTCACGAACATTTTATACAAGGTGTTTAACTAAATGTAGCTATAATGGATTCATATTAACTATATTTAAATAAATATAAATTTGTTATTAAGTTAATTCTTGCTTTTACAGATAAACCAGGATTTTCAAAACCCATTGAAGGACCAAAACCAGAATTTAATAAAGAGTTAAATGAGAAAGTATCCTTGTATCAAGGTGACATCACAAAATTAGCAATAGATGTTATTGTTAATGCTGCTAACTCTAAATTAGCCGGAGGTGGAGGAGGTAAAATATATTTAAATTATGTGTATATTAATTTGTAAATAAATACATGATTAATAATTTCATGCCAATATTTCTTATTAATTTTTTATAATATTTATTTAATTATTTCATAGTTGATGGCGCTATTCATAAAGCTGCTGGCCGAGAACTTCAGGCTGAATGTGCTACATTAAATGGTTGTAAGACTGGTTGTGCCAAAATCACCAAAGGGTATAAACTTCCTGCTAAATGTAAGTTTAAAGCCACTTTAATAATATTACATGTATACAAGGTGTTCAAAAAATTTAGAAAAGCTTAAATTATTTCGGTTTGCATATTTTTATACCTACATAGCAACAACAGATGACATGGCTCTGCATATTTAAGTAAAATGTTTAGGTACCTGATTTATTACATCATATTATTGTTTATCGGTCCTAATTAATCTAAATACGGTTCCAAACTTTTTGAACGCCCTGTTAAAACAAATACATAGTAATCTACATATTATAAATAAATTAACCACTCGTTATTTTTACAAATATATAAGTTTTTTTTGTCTCAATAATTACCAGCATTTTATTTAATCTTCAATCCATAAACCTTATATTTATAGAAAGAACAAAGTATGAATTTCTGTTGTAAATGATGGAAAATATGTAAAATAGATAWGTATCATCATTCATCACAGTTATATTAGTTTTTCAGTATGCACATCTCTTTCACCTCTGGTTGATATYGTAGCTCTCTACTTGTGGTTGGTTGATTTTATCTACAGTATATATGTATGCATATGAATGACAGTCAATAAGGAGTGGAGAACTAAACAAAGTAAAGAATCCCTCACTGGGTCACGTTTCAAAAAACTATGATGATACCTATCTATTTTGCCATGTATTGCACAAACTGGATAGTGCTTAGATAGAGAATAAATATTAAATAAAAGTATAATCAAATATCAATATTTCTACCATACTAATTTAACAAAATACAAAAATGTTTTAATATCTATCTGGTTTTAATTTAATTTTTTTTTTTCTGATATTTTGTACTAGAAAATCAACATCATTGACAACACCATACCCACCCAAGTGCTCTATATAAACTATTAAGTCTTAATGATTTAATCACAACACAATGTAGATATTACGGTGTAGTCATTTGGCATCAATAAGTGAGACGTAATTTGAAGACATTAAATTCAGTGCATTGTCCACCAGGAGTAYTAAAAAACTGTTTTATATATTTTTGTATAACAGTATATACATAAAAACTTTTAGAACAATGCAATTTACTTCTCGAGTGATTTTTTGGAAATTTTAATATTTATATATTCAATATATTGTTAAATGCAGAATTTACCTATCTTACCTACTTTTTATGGGATTGTTAATAAAGCATCATAATCTTTTAATATATTATTGWGGATATAAATACTAGCATTTAAAAAAATATTGCAATAATAGTTAAACTACATTTGTTCCTAGAGTCTAAATGCTACACGTTATTATAGATAATTTGGCCTTCTTAACACTGATTAACAATACGATAAAATTAAGATTCAAACATTTCATTACCAAAGATGAGAAGTGATAACACCATATTACCTACATYGTGAATCACAAATTTTACACTAGAATACGAGATTCATTAGGCAATAATGTAAACATTGACCTTGACACAAAATATTATAGTAGCTTAATATTTATTATCCATTAATTTTCTAATGTTTTATATATGTGTGTTAATTTTATAAAATATTTTCAAACAATTATAATATATATATTAATTAATTATAAATAGATATTAATTTTTATTGATATTCACTGAAACTTTAAAATAAAACACTTCAATTGGTTGAATAACTAGAAATKATATATTTTCAACAAATTGTCTTCTGTTTTCATCTTAAGATGTATTTAGTGCTATTATAATTTGTAAGAAAATAATAATTCCTACCTTTGTGATTATTCGATCTTTATAAATAGTTTAAATTTATTGTTTTAGATATTATACACACAGTCGGACCAAAAGGAGAAAATTCCGAAGAACTACAATCAGCTTATCAAAATAGTTTGGATTTAGCTGTTGAAAAGAAGTTAAGAACAATTGTAAGTATTTAAGTTAAATTTAAATTGATATCTTTTTGATTTTGAATTGTTTTTGATTTCAGGCATTTCCATGTATTTCTACTGGAGTTTATGGTAAATGTGACATATTTGTACATAGTTTCAATTTTAAATATTAATTGTATGAAAATCTGTTTAGGATATCCGCAAGAAGAAGCATCCATTGTGGCATTGAAAGCTATAAGAGGCTTTTTAGAACATGATCATAACTTGGTAACATATTTTAAATTTTTATATTAATAATTTTGTACATGTTTCTTTAATCTATATTATCAATAAAAACCGTTAATAATGAATAAAGTAAAGTTAAAGTCTAAAGCATATTTATGTAATATAATATTAAGATAATTTTTATATCTCTGTCTATCAGGTTCACCCTATGTACTTCATATACCAAAGTTGTGCTATTGATTTTGTATTATATATTTGAGAATTATCACTTTTTTTTTAAAATCTAGTTCATGACATAAATTTCAATTTTAAAATCTGATAGTTTACCAATTCAAATACTTTCATAATTTCATCTTTCAAATTTATATTACAAATTTAAACCATATACTTAAATTGTACAGTACTTTTCTTAAAAATAGAATATGCTATTTTAATTATTTGATTGACAAATTTAAAAATAAGTAATATTCATATTTTACTAATTTTTTTTACTGCAAACATTTTTTTTTTAAATTCGTCATTGTTTCACCAAATACTGACTAAAATATGAGCTTAAACTAACATTGCTATTTTACATAAGTTGCAGTGCTATTGCTGCCAAATATATAGAAATGTTTATTTTAATAATAATAAATAATTTTTTTTTCAGTATTATTAAAATATAATGTATATTGAATTAAATCATGATTTATGCTTACATTATGTTCAATTTATTTATTTATTAGGTAGTTTAATTTTGTAAACTCAATTTATTTATTATGTATTATTATAAATTAATATATATATATATTTCTTTTTCAGATTGAACGCATCATATTCTGTGTATTTCTTGATTCTGACAAAGAATTTTATGAGAAATATCTACCATTATTTTTTCCTCTCGAGTAAGATTTATTTTATGTATTGTAAAATATACTAACCTTTTTACAGCATTAAAAATAATCATTTATACATTGTTTTAATTCGTTTTCATTTTTTTATATTATCAATATTGTAGTGTATTAATTAATACAGTATGTTAATTGTTTAACTTAAAAAACCTTTAAATATATATATAAATTTCATTAATTTTTTTTTTTAATTTTGACTTGCTTAAATGTGTTCCAGACAATTTTCCTATCCCTTAAACTGTTTTATTAATTATGT